TTGCTAGGCATAGTGGCTCATACCTGCAATCCCAGCACTTTGGGAGGCCAAGGGGGGAGGATCGCTTGAACCCAAGTTTGTGACTTAACCTGGGCAACATAGCAAGACCTTGTCTCTACAAAAATTTTTTAAAAAATTAGCCAGACATGGTGGCATGTACTTGTAGTTCCAGCTACTTGGGAGGCTGAGGTAGAGGGATCATCTGTTCCTATGAAGTCGAGGCTGCAGTGAGACGTGATTGTACCACTACACTCCAAACTGGATGACAGAGTGAGACCCCAACTCAAAAACAATTTTTAAAAAATTCTTTAATCCAGGGATGTCCAACCTTTTGGCTTCCTTGGGCCTCAATGAGTAAAGAGAAATTGTCTTGGGTTGCACATAGATTATATAATATAGTTAGTATATATATATATATAATAAGACTTTCTTTTTACTTATAAAGTTTAGAAAAATGAGATATAAATATAAAACTAGAGGGAAATTTTACCTTGTTTTTGTAAAACAAATCTATCAATATCTGGCTTAATGAAAGTGGTCGCAATTCTGAGTGAGTTCACAAGGTGCTCATCAGAAATATTTGTTCGAATTTTGCTCTTTGTGTGATTCATAATTGAAAACAGCTGCTCACAAATGTATGTGCTGCCAAAAAAGCGATGTCATGAATAAGGCATGATTGCAAATATAGGGATATTTTTCTCTAAGAAGATAGGTCTTATAAAAGTCCAAGAAAGAGACATGGTCAAATTTTTCTTTTAGTTGAATGTCTGATTACAATTCTATGTAATCAGACATAGAATGTCCACTTGAAAATCTGCAGATAGTTATAAAGTGAGCAGGAGCACTTGTACCATAGTATTTAAATAATACTATTTAACCTCTTTTAAAACAGATTAACTCTTCCAGATTTGTCTTCTTATTGAGGATGCGTGTATTTTCTTCTCGTTTTATAGCAGTTAATTATTTCTGTGATTATTAGCAAGGGGCATTGCCCTTGAGCTAAAATTTGATTATTTAATAAGCAGCTATTATTAAAATAACTGAGCATTGTTTTATGAACATACACTAATCTGAGATATTGAAAACTTTACAACTAAAAGCAAAACCAAAAAAAAACACAAAAGCTACATTAGCTAGTTAGCCATTGTTTGGATGTTTTGAGCTGATTTTTTATAATGGCTCATTGAGCTTTTTAGCTTGGAGTATTATGTTTACTTTAATCCAAGTTTAGGCCTTCTAAGGAGTCCCTAAAATTCAAGGTCAGAACATGCATCCCTTTGATATCTATAAAAGTTTTATAGAAACTTTTTGGTTGTGATTATCATTTTCAGTAAGATTGCATACATGTAGTTCACTTTTATCAGAAGTTAAAATGAAAGTCCTAAGAGTTCATGGAGAAATGGCGCTCCTATTACATTCACTACCCTGCCGAAATTCACCCCAGTTTCTGGCCACAAGAATATATGAAAGGAGCCCTACTCTTTTCCAAGGGAAATGATTCCTCTTCTGTGCCCACTGTTGATTAACTGACGCCATGGATACCTTTCCTTCTCCATTGGCCAAGACCCTATTTTAAACTTCTTTTCTGAGCCGAGTGGCATGAGTGCATATGTGGTTTCTTGTGTTGATGAAGTGGCTGTGGGAGAATTAAAGAATATGCTAATCAGAGATTCATTCTCATGGGAACCTAGTACATATTGCACCCCTTTTGGTTGGAAATTATCTTCATTTCTGGTTGGACTGCATGGTTTAGAAACATGTTAATTGCTTACAATTCTGGGAAATTTATAGTGTGGCTCTGGGGTTTGGAAAAAAAATACTTTGTATTGATTCTCAAAAAAAAAAAAAAGAAAGTCTGCAGGTAAATATATTAATGTCAACTGAAAACGGTATAACAAATACAGCAAAATAGTCATATTTTGCTGAAAATCTTGAAATTTGTTTTCAAATTCCTGTGTTAAGACAGAAAACAAAGATACATATTTCTGGCAGTTCACAGGACTGCGTTTAGCCAATGTAACAAAATATGTTTAATTATTTCCCATAATTTGAGCTTGCCATAATTTAAATTTCACTTCAAGCGCAGTATTACTTTGGAACTTCAAAAATGGAACTCGCATGGGGTCATGAAGAAAATAAATGCTAAAAAACACATGATGTTAAAAGAGTTTGTGGGGTAGCATTACTAGCTGTCCTGGGATGCCTGTGGTCCATAGGCAGCAGGTTGGACATATCTGCATTAACCCATCTGGAATTCATTTGTGTGTGGTCAGAGTTGCAGGTTTAAATGTATTTTTTCTGACACTGCCAATCAGTTATCTTAATATTATCTATTAAACATAATTATTTATAACACAAAAGAGAAGACAAAAATGTGAGAAAGGCCCTTGGAAGGGGGGACTGGTCAGGCACCTGTGGAAGAATTAGGCGTGAACAGGAAGTGGGGGAGACAGGGAAAGGCTGGGGGTGGCAGCCAGTAGGTCTGTAGTGGGGAGAGCAGCACCTTTGATTTTCTGACATAGAAGGGGCGGGCTTCCCAAATTCTTCCCAGAGATATAGGATTTCAGGCAGAATATTCAGGGGTAAACCACATAAAGGCTCTGACCCTGGGGTCCCTGAAGTTTATATTCCCAACTCCTCTGGGATCCTAGAAGCTCCAACTGCCACCTCTCCCTCCCTCCCTCCTGCTGTTCTTTAATTTTTATCATGACATCTAGTCCCCTAATCAGGATCCCAGAACAATATCATGTATGTGCATGCCACCTTTGTAATCCACAAGACATGTCCATCTTCATGATGATCTGTCCTGAAGGCAAGCAGGCTCTCAAGTCCCAAGAAGGGTTGGTTGTGGAAGAGCCAGGTCTTAGGCAGGGGCTCAGATCCTCAAGCCTCCTACTCTCCTCTACGGTCCAGCAGGCAGGTTCAGGCCTTGCAGGACATCACTCTCCAGCATTCCTGCTTTTTCCTGCATTCTCCCACTACCCGCTCTACCTCACCTGGTCAGTCCCAACCCATTGGTCCCCTTTTCAGCTTCCCTGGGTGCCGTTAAGGGAGTTAAGGCCCCACAAGCCTCATGCCGTGTGATCTCCCAGGCAAGTTACTTTCTCTCACCAAGGCTTTGAATACAGTGGGGATTATAATAGAAGCTAGGTCTTTGTGTTGTTGTGAGGACAGAGTGAGTTCATGCGTGTAAAGAGCTTACAACAGCACCTAACACCAAACTCAACAAATGTTGGGAACCATCAGGGCCAATGGGCTTTGCTGTAAATGTGTTCTAGCCTATCACTGCTTCTCTATGATTCTTTTATTCACCTCCAATGGCCTCAGCCACAGGTTCTCTGCAAGGGCCCTTCTAGACTGTTTTCGCCCTTCTTTAGCCTCTGTCTCTACATGCCACAAGATTCCAGAAAAAAAGGAACATTTCAAGAAAAAAAAAAAAAAAAAAGAATTTAGTAGTCTCAGAAGCATGAAGAACTTCAATAGGCATCCTGGCAGGGGAACAGAATCCTGGAGGAAAACTGCCCTCTAAGCAGAGCAGAATGAGGGAACCTCCATGTTGCTGGGACCTGAGGAAGTCTGGGCATGGCAGTGTTCTCCCAGAAATGAGGACCAGCCCAGTAATCACCTGTTCTGATCCCCAAAACAGCTACAAAACTGAATTCTTAGATAAACTCCCCCTAGAGAAAGGAAGGACAAAGGAGGAAAAACAATTCAGAAACTTCTCATAATAACCTAAACTTTTTGGAGGGTTAATTTCCATGGGCATATTCTTTCCTTGTTTATTTTCCTTTTGTAGGAAAGTCCCCCCAAGACAATGTTAGTTTCTTCCAGATGAGCGTTGAGAATGGGGGAAGCAATTCTGTTCCTTTACTGCTGCGATATTTTGCTCTGAGTTTGGGCAGAGAGAAGGGACCCATGTGTAACTGTCATGGGGGCAGGGCTCAAGGATGTTGTGGGGATAAAAGTGCTGCCTGGCCCCACTTCAAAGAGAAAACTCCGGGGCTCCTTCCCAGTGTCTGCCTGAAGACCAAGCAGTCACAGAGTGACCCTTTGATATCTGAGCCTCATCTAGATAGAGCTGGAAGAAGGAGGCAGGATATGATGGACACACATGCCCAGGTCCTTCTCAATGGATCCAGAGGTTTTTGGAGCATCCAGATTTCCAAAGTGGCTGGGGTTCCCTGCCCCCATCTTGCCAATACCATTCATGTTATTATAAATCAAACAGCAACAGAGTATGATGAAACACACTGAGCCTGACCACAGGTGGGCCCAACTAATATCTAATTCCTGCAGTGACATTCACCTCCACCTGCTACAATTTTTTGTGTCTCCTGTATGTGTCTTGATTCTTATTCAGAGCACCTACAAAAAGTAAAACCAACAATTAGCATCCCTTTTAAAGAGACATACCTTACACTTTCTGATTTTCAGTGAAAATCAAGTCCCTTCTTTTTACCCTTTATAAAAGGGAGCAGTCGTTTTCCTCCCCACTTTTGTCTGAGGAAAGCAACTACGGGTGAACCATGAGTCAGGAGAGCCAAGCTACGAAATAGGGGTGGGTGTTATGAGCAATCTGTCATCTAATTAGATTTCACTCTCCCAATTACCTGACATAAACCATGCCCTTATAAAACCCATGAGTCTAAAATACACTTCCCCTCCCCGAACTTTTAAATCAAATTTCTGTGAATCCTCTCAGGTCAGTCTCCCTCACAAAACCCAGAAAAAAAATCCCAGGAGCCGCCCACGTGCCCGCTTCTGCCCATCTGCTGGGCTTTCTCAACCCTAAGACAGAAATCAATACCACTCTTTCAGATGTCCACAGCTAAAAATAACTCGGAACGAATGTATTTCGCTTCTAACTTAGCGAGAAGGGCCCAGCGGTCCCGCCCAGGAGAGACTCCCAGACGTCTGGCAAGGCGCAGCCACCCAACAGGCGCAAGGGCGCCGGGACCCGAGCTGTGGGGCCCCAGCCCACCCTCCGATCGCGCGCTTACCTAGCCGGGGCGAGGCGCGGGCGGGGGCGCCGGCTTCCAGGCCGCCTCTCCCGCCGTCCCAGGGGCGGCTGAGGCTGTAGCTGCTGTAGCCGCGGTGCACCGCGAACTTGCAGACGCTGCGGCCGCGCACGGTGCAGTTGAAGAGGTAGCAGCCGAGCGCAGGAGCCGGGGCTGCGGGCCTCCGGGGCAGCTCCACCACCGCCACGGAGCAGCGCGGCTCGGAGCAGCAGGCCGCCAAGCATTGTCGCCAG